TATCTTGGTACACCCAATATCGCTCGCGTGGCAGCATTCTGGACTAGCTGTAGTCTCCGAATGCTTTTCAGGGGTAGCCCCATGTAGAGCGTAGAACTTAGAATGGTCACTAAGTGTTGAGTTGTACGTTGAGGACTCTCTGTGCCGTTTTCTGCAGCAGCTCATGCCGCTGGGCCGTTCTGGAAGGCAGCTCCGTTTTTTGCCAGACGAATTTCTGGGTAATTTGAGGGAAGAGGTTTAAGGTGAATCAGCCTTTTTTCCCCTGTCTGTCTCCGCTCCGTTTCGTGCCTTAGTGATGGGGCTTGCTACAAACTTCCCTAACTTTTTGCTGATTGGGAAGGGGCTTAGGTAACCAAGGTAGGTGGATACTCCCTGTCCTCCCCCCAATTCCACTCTTCTTTTCACTTGAAGATCTGCAGGTCGTTTTTTTCTAATTGGCAGGTTTGAGGCTTCCAGGTAATGTAATTCTGCTGTATTTCTCCCCCCCCCCCTCTCTTCTTTTTCTATGCTCCTAACCCCATTCTGGTCCTTTAATGCTTTCTCCACCCTTGGCGATGCTATTGCGGTTTTCACTCCTCTGTTTCTTCCCGGAATCCAGAGGTGGGTTTCACAGAAGTCGACCACCGGTTCGCCCCGTGCGTGCATGCTGGCTTTGTGAGTTTGCGTGCCTCGCAAAGGAATAGTAATGGAGCAGCAGGGCTTTTGTCTTTGCAACTCCAGTCTTCTGCAACGGCCCCCAGTGCTAATTACAATCCTCTCTTTGCAAATGGGCATGCAATGGCTCAGCGGTTAAAAGATGCTGATCTGGTCGGCTGGAGAGCCCGGGTTTGAGACCCCGAGCACCATGCAAGGGGATGAGCTCCCGTTCCTTGCCTCGGCTGCTGCCCACCTAGCAGTTCTAAAGCATGCAAATGTGAGTAGATAAATAGGCACCGTTTTGGAAGGGAAGGCAACAGTGTTCCGTGCGCCTTTGAGGTGTCATCTATGCTGGCCACATGACCAGGTAATGTCTTTGGACAACATTGGATCCCTGGGCTAAGAAACAGAGATGAGCACCTTGCGCTAGGGTCTCACATGACTGGCAGGGAAACCTTTACCTTCACCTTTGCTTCTCTCTGGCCAAACAATGGTTTTTTGCCAAATGTCTCCGATCCTTTTCAGTTTTCAGAGACATCCTGCCTCCTTTTCCCATTCATTATTATTTTCCCTACCCCGCCATCTTCTTCTCCTTTTCCTCCTCCTCCCTTTCCTCCTCCTCCATCTCCTCCTGCCCCTCTCCTCCTTCTCCTGCTCCTGATTCTCCCTCTCATCTACCCTCTCCTGCCCTCCTCCTCCTCCTGCTCCTCCATCATCTCCGGCCCACCTCCTCCTCCTCCTCTTCCTCCCTCTCTTCCACCACCTCCTGCTCCTCTCCTCCTGCTCCTCCTCCTCCCTCTCCTCCTCCTCTCTCTCCTCCTGCTCCTCCTTCCTCTCCTCCTGCTCCTCTCCTCCTGCTCCTCCTCTTCTGTCTCCTCTCCTCCTCCTCTTTCTCCCTCTCTTCCACCACCTCCTATTAATCTCCTCCTGCTCCTCTCCTCCTGCTCCTCCTCCTCCCTCTCCTCCTCCTCTCTCTCCTCCTGCTCCTCCCTCCTCTCCTCCTGCTCCTCTCCTCCTGCTCCTCCTCTTCTGTCTCCTCTCCTCCTCCTCTTTCTCCCTCTCTTCCACCACCTCCTATTAATCTCCTCCTGCTCCTCTCCTCCTGCTCCTCCTCCTCCTGCTCCTCCTCCTGCTCCTCCTCCTCCCTCTCTTCTCCTCCCTCTCCTCTTCCTACCTCTCCTCCTGCTCCTCCTCTTCCATCTCCTCTCCTCCTCCTCTTTCTCCCTCTCTTCCACCACCTCCTATTCATCTCCTCCTGTTCCTCTCCTCCTGCTCCTCTCCTCCTGCTCCTCCTCCTCCCTCTCTTCCGTCTCCTCCGTCTCCTCCTGCTCCTCTCCTCCTCCTCCTCCTCCCCCTCCTCCTCCTCTTCCATTCCTTCTGCTCTT